GGCCCACAGAGGTTTAGGAGTCCTAGGTATTTTTCACCAGAAAATAAAAAGGTCAGTAGTTCTAATGTTAATGGTTGGCGTGTGGCTCAGCATGTTGTGTGTTTGTGCCCAATGGTCGCCGCGGGGAATCCTGTGTTTAGCCCAGTGGACACATCTCCGCTGCTACACACCCCCCTCCCCCCCAAAAAATGCTTTTCTGCAGCTGTTCAGACACCCCGCCGCTTCCGTTCCCGGAAGGTCAGACAGGGCTGCAGCACGAGTGCCCGTTCTCCTGACCGACGCGCAGTTCTTCAGCACGGCTCATACGGTAAATCGCTAACTGGGGGGGTGGGGGGCAGCTCTGGGGAGTTCTCCGTCACGAAGCTGATGATCACACACATTCGCTGTTTACAGTAATGTTGATGTTGCCCAACAGATACCAGGCTGAAAATATACTGCGCCGATACTACAGAGCTTTTAGCTCTTGTAAAGAATTCTGCTGTAAGCGCAGCACAGATCCCGCACAAGCCGTTTCACTTACTCATTCAGTTTTTCATTCATTTGGTTAATCCATCTCTTTATTTCATTCATTATATTCATTCCACCTTGCTATACTGCGGCTGTACTCATTATTGTTTGGATACACAATGCACTGTGCATATAAGCCCTTGTGTCCAGCCCCCGTTTTGCACTTTAAGTTAGTGCTGCACTGTGGTCCTAAGATAATGTTACTTCATGTCTCTGTATACCTGTATATGGATGGTATGACAATAAAGCCCACTTGACTATTCTGCACAAGTCCATGAACACCAAGACCAAGGTCATTAGGATGCATTCAGGCATGCGGCTGCTGTCTAAATACTGGGGTCAGGCAACCTGCTTGGCTGCATTTCAATAGCTGGCATCCAGAAGACACTCTGAGTAGCTGAAGAGCCTCTGGCTTGATGAAATAAGAAGGTTAGGTTGCTCTCCTGGCTTAGGGGGTGCAGTGAGCGGTCTGGGCTTCACGCCAGGACCCGCGATCACGTGCTTTAAGCTTCTCAAGCTGCTGTGAGTATAACTATAACCACATATCCGTGGTCTGTGGGAGGAAGCTAGGAGTAACCTGAAGGAAATCCACACTGACACAGGAAGACGACGTCTAAAACGCTACCTAAGGCTATGCTAATTATGTTTGTGATTATCTGTCCATTCATAAGCCAGGACTGGGTAATGGTGTTTGCCTGGAGACCATGCCAGGACACGTAGGGTACAAGGCACAGCACCCTGGCTGGGATTCTAGTCCATCACATCACAAGTCATATAACATCCATCCATCCATCCAGCTGCTTATCCTGAGCAGGGAGTCATATAACAGTATAAGACTCTGTTAAGTCCAAAATGTAACTTCTGGAGATTTCATGCTGTCTGTATAACACTTTTTTACTCAGTATCCAAAATGCTGAAATACTGAGTTGATTTTCTGAAGCCAAATCAGAGTAATCAGATGGAGCTTCTTCTTATTTCTGTACTTCAAGCGAAGATGGAGCCCAGTAAGTTTGCACATGTTACTGGCAGATTGTGAGTGGTGGGAGTTGGTGAGATGTGAATCTCAGGTGTGAGTGAAGGTGTTGGACAGGGTAGTCAGAACAAGAGGTCAAACAGCTCTAGCCAAGAAATAGTACTAACTGAGCCAGCAGAGTCCAGGTTTAACAAATTCTCTGTCTGCTGACATGAAAGTGAATCCTCACAGGTAAATACAGGCCAAAATTCCCATGACATCTGCACTTCATAGCACTGTTACCGCACTTTATCAGTCACTTTATCCGTATTTATACATTGTCTAGTTTTTCCACTGTCTCGTATAGTTTTTAGTCTCTATGTAATGGAGTGAGCAGAGATTCCGGTGCAGCTGCCGCACATGGCTGTGAGAACCTTCAGTCTGACTCTGCTAATTCTGCTAACTCTACTAGTCCCCCTCAGCTTCAAAAACACCATTACTGTTCCAGTCACCTGCCTCAATGGCTACTGCCCTGTAGCACTAACCTCCACTGCAATGAAGTACTTTGAGAGACTGGTGCTATGACGCGTCAAGGACTCCACTCCAGACAGTTCTGACCTGCTGCATTTGCATTCCTCTACTTTACATCCCCTGAGGTCCCCATTTCACGCACATTATTTGTTATTTGTGGATTACAGCTCTGCATTTATCACAGTCATCCCCTGTAAGTTGATCCAGAAGTTTCTGGGTCTGAGACTCAGTGCTACTCTGTGCAACTGGGTCCTGGACTTCCTCACCAACAGACCACAGCATGTACGGATTGGCACAGACACTTCCTCCACCCTGACGCCCAACAATGGCACTGGGAAGCGTTTTGATTCCACTGCTGTACTCCTTGTTCACACGTGACTGTGTGGCCGGACACAGCTCCATCACTGTCATTAAGTTTGCTGACGATTCCTCCATCATGGGCCTGATCGCTGACAATGATGGCCTACAGAGAGGAGGTGAGACTCGTGGCAGAGTGTTGTCAGGAGAAACTACCTCTCTTTTAATGTCAGCAAAACTAAGGAGCTGGTCTTGGATTTCAGGAAACAAACTGCGGCTCATGCCCTCATCTACGACGAAAGAGGTGCCAGCAGCTTCATGTTCCTTGGGGTCAACACCAGCAATAAAGGCCCAGCAACGCCTTCAATTCCTCTGGCGTCTGAGGAAAAGCCCAGATGCACACCACAGTCCAGAAGGAGCGCTGTGAAATCCATCCCCACAGGTATGGTAGCTGCTCTACACATGACAAGAAAGCACTACAATGCTCAGGTCAAATGCACTCTATTCCCAGCCATGAAAGGCATTCACACCACGCGCTGCCTCAGAAAGACAAAGCGCCTCATGACGGACTCTTGCCACCCTGCACTGCCTCTTTTTTCTTTCCTGCCTTCTGGTAGGAGAATCAGGACAATCTGCACACGCACCACAACATTCAGGGGCAGCTTTGAGCCCACTGCCGTCACACTGTTCATCACACACTGCTGTGACATACAGATACTGTTTTCATGTGCAATAATAATAATGTTCATAATGTGCAATTTATGTTAACAGTGTGTTTACTTTTGCTAACACACAATACAGATGCTAAAGACTGTTTAAAAACACTTCATGTTTGCACTTTTATGGTCACTCATGATCAGTAGGTCATGGCAATTGTTAGTTGTTTATTGCTTAGTTAATGTTAGTCACTGTAATTAACGTTGCAGCGCTTCGTTAATTGACTAGTCTTTGAAGAAGGCCTTCAAGTATGAATTTCATTGTACACATACGACAATAAAACTTTGAATCCTTTGTAAATCAGTAATCACCACTGGTGACCATGGAATGTCATTGTGGAAGAAGACATAACAACATCTTATAAATGTTATAAATCATCAAGTTTGCCCACAGCAGAATTAGATTAGATTATAGACTTTATTAATCCCACAATGGGGAAATTCTTTGAGAAACAGCAGCAATAATGAAAAAAGACAGTACAAAAAAGGACAGGATCCATAGGATCAGCAAAAAATAACAATACAGATAATAAAAACAATAGAAAAAAAAAATTCTAAAACTGTAAAAATATATAAGTAAAAATGTAAGAAAAAAAGAAACATATACACAATGCTAGGTATATGGATAACAGCTGCTGAAATATATATATATATATATATATATACATACATATATACACACAGACACACACACACATCAACACATTACAATTGCAATGCTTTGTACGCCGCACACAGAGGCCCAGAGGTGTGAGGTCACGGTGAAACACATGGAGTTGCTATGTTACCAAAACTCTATGTTTGTGTTTAAAATACTTTTTAATCTATTTTCAGTGATTTCCAGTCTGTCACAGGGCACATTCACAATTAGGAGACGACAATCTACCCAAACCCTGCATCTTTTAGACACAACCTTTTAAACTCCAATACCTTAATGATAATACGGCCTTTAGAATGGAATATTATTGATGAAAAAATCTCTCTTAATCCTATAGCATACACCAAACAAAAGATGTGTTGGGTAGCAGACCATCCGTCAGGCTCCTGGGAGAGAGCGATGGGGCCACCTAGTGCCCCCCCATGGTTAATTTCTTTGTTTAATTCATACAACAAAACTGCTTCAGAAACATTTTGTTACAGGAAGCCCATTGTAACCATCTTTTTATACCCTTCTGTTACTACTGGTTCTGTGAGCTGATAGTTTCCTCCCTGCTCCTTTAAACAAGTCCAGCACGGCAGCATAATTTATCTGCACAGCTAATATCCCCACATTGCAGAATAAGTACAGCCATTTTCTCATATATAGTTTTATATAACTTTGGTGAAACAGTTTGCTGAGTATCTTTATCGCTTCTGGCGGCCCCCAAAAGGGTTTGTCTGGTGGTAATGGAAATTAAAGTGTCTCATTCTGTCCGATTAAGACATTGCCCCCCCCCCAGCGCTGCCCTGGAGCCGCCCTGGAGCCCTGACCAGCCAGCGGGCAGGCAGGCAGTGGCCCCAGACCTTATTTATAGCTATTAGGATGAGCACCTTAAATAACAAAAAGAACATGGTGTTCTTGGTGGGTGGCACAGTGGCTCATTTAGGGGGCATGGCTTGTGAATGCCCCCCCCCAAGATGCCAACCAGGCATTAGTGAGATTCAAGGCCTCCCTACTGGAGGGGGGAGGTGATGGTGAAACCCACCAAACCATCACACACCTGCATTTCTGATAAAACTGAAAGTTTTTTTCAGGCACCTTCTGTCAGTTGCTAAAAGTGAAGTTTTCTTAAAAATTTTTAGACTTCAGTAGCAGATGAAGGGAATGCTTAAATCAGGGGTGGCCAATCTTACCCGCAAAGGGCCGGTGTGTATGCGGATTTTTGGGATAACCTTTAGGTCAGCTGTTCAAACCCAGGTGTGAGGACTCTTCAGCCAATCAGTCCTCTAATTAGCAATCTAATTAGGGAGTTGCAGTGAAACCCGCACACACAGCGGCCCTATCTGGATAAGATTGGCCACCCCTGGCTTAAGAGATGTGTATGGATGGATGGATGGCTATGCTAGAGATGATCTGAATTAGAATCAGAGTTCATTATTGTCATTGCATGATTGTACATACAATGCAAATCTGGTTTGTCTCAATAAACACATCATTACATTACACATCAGTCAAGATCACTGACAGCCATGTATGACAGAAGCTAAGGCTTTATTTCGTGAAGCCCATCGAAAAAACAGCGGCAGTGACAGATCCCTGCAGATGCTGCCGTAATAAATAATGGATCATAAATATAAAACTGTCACTTTATCTTCAGTATTTACTTTAGTTACTATTGTTAACATTTCCGCTGATGATCAAGAGGCGGCGACTCAGAGTCCCAGGTCGATCTCGGCTCTTGCAATGAGCCAGGCATGTGACACAGCATAAAAAAAATAAAATAATAATAATATTAATAATACTGTTAATAAATAAATATCTTAGACATTACAGTAACATGTACACATTGTGTAGAACAGTGTTCGCTCTCTGTTGGGCTCCCTCCTCCCTCCTCCCTCCGTATCTCCCTCCCTCCGTATCTCCCTCCCTCCTCCCTCCTTCCTCTCTCCTGGACGCTGCCCAGTCTCCATCCTGCTTCCAGCACTCGCATGCTCACTTTCTGCCGTCCCCGTATGTCTCCATCCACTCCAGCAGCGAGTCCAGCTCCCCGATGGCTTTCACAGCGCCATCCCGGGGCTCCAGCTGCAGGAGGGAGGTGCAGAGTGCCCGTGTTAGACCTGCGGAAGCCCGTCACCGTATCACTATGCGATGCCCGTCCCCCCCGATCTAGCTGCAGCACTTACCTTCTCATAGTTGGCATGGATGGTGGCCAGCCTGGCCTCGCTGTCGGCACCACATTCGCAGCGCATCTCTTCCTGCTGAGGGGAGAAGTACAGACAGACAGGAGGTCAATCCAGCGGGTGGGAGCAGGATTCTGGAGCGGTTCACAGAGCTGGATTGTAATGCACAGAGGCAGGAAATACACCTGCAACTGGCAGTCCAAAATCCAGGGTCTGCCAGCCTTTGTGTGATCTGACCAATGATTATTATTATTATTATTATTTATTATTATTCAGTATGATGATTATGATTGTAATAATATGAGGAAACTCTCTGGCAGACTCAAGTTGCATTTTATTATCCGTCCACAAGAAGGCACTCACACATTTGAGCAGGTCGTTCCTAATACTGAGGAATGAGTTGGCTAAGTTGCTCGTGTTCCTCCTGAACTGGGACTGGTTGGGGACGTAGCTGCTGAAGACCCTTTCCACGTAGAAGCTGAGCAGCTGCTTCAGGAAGCAGCAGCTCTCCAGAGGCTGTGAGGGAGGCACACGTCAACATGTTAGACAGTACAAATAAATCCAGACCGCACTTCTTCTAATTGTTTGTTTAACAGACAACTTTCCTATTTCATTACAGAATACAATGTAGAAGGAAATCGAACCTGGAGCTCCTTCATGGTCTGTTTGCTAATGAGCCGTGTGCTGATGTGCTTATCCTCATTGACCTAGGGAAGGACGAATCGTGGGTTATCATGTGCAAGAAATAGTCTGGTGTCACCGAAACTGACGGGGCTTCTGAAGCCATCCTGGGTAGACGTTCAGAAACGACAAAAAATCTGGACACTGTCAGCAGGAAATTCCCAAGCTGTTTTGCACGCTCTGTGCTTGTCCCATTTCAGGGGCTTTTTAAGGCCGTGACCCTTTTGGCGGAAACCGCAGTTGGCAAATGAGGACCATCCCGGCCTTGAGCCACTATCACGACGGAAGGCTGACGCGGTGTCCCTTGCCGTACAGTCCCACACCTTGGGAAAGCACGCGGCTGGGAGCGCCGTGTCCGCCATCTTCCTGAGCCTTAAGGCACATGCATGGACTACGGCTGCGATGATGTCACCTCCATGAAAGAAATGCTGTTCAATTCCTCTCTCCTCAGGGTAGCAACATTTTGTGCTAAAAACAGCAGCAGATGCCTGAAGGCATGCGTCAGCCGCGTGCTTGGAGAGCTTTTAGTCTTCATCTCCTCTTTCTGTTTCCTCGGACTTTGCCAGGGTTATTTATACACGAGTACGTTATACATGAATATATATGCTTTGTTTATACAGCGTGTCCACAACTTACAACCTATGCGACTTACAGCGACCAAAGTTTTTTTTTTTTTTTAAATCTATGTAAAAATATATTCTTGGCGGCCGTACCTGGGGCAGCAGTGCACTACCGAGTGCAGGCTGTGCCCCGTATGATAGTTACGGCGAGAAGGATTTGTACATCCAAACCTCAAATGCATCTCCTATTCATTGTCACCTAAAAGGCATTTATCCTAGTCCAATGTTCGTCCATTTTTGACCTGTCTCTCAGAACAGAAACCAGTCATAAGCCGGGGACAGTCTGTCTACATACAGTACTGTGCAAAAGCCTTAGGTTGCTGAAGAAAATTATGTTGGCGTATTGGTATCATTTTATAACAGTTAAAGTGTGTCAGCTTAACCATTTTAAAACTTTTCCTAAAGTTACCCCAGAATTTGCAGCAACCATCCAAAACACCAAATTATTTTTTGATTTGACCACTACCACACCATATTTGGCTAATCAGTACAGTACCTCTAGTTATTTAACTATTTAATTAATTAGAAGAACTGCTGCTACAGCAAAATCATTGAGCAAATACATTTTCCCCTGAGAAGAGGTTTGGGATCTGAAGCTGTGTCCTATTCATCCAGCAAGATATTAGTAACCTTTTTTCTATTATTTGTACTACTGTTCATTTGTATGTATTTTAATGATAACTTATGTCGTTTTTTCTGGACACATATATCGTTATTACCTGGGAAAATAACCTGTACGTTGCACAGGACTGGGCATCCGTCCAGCTACCGATTCCGTCATCAGGAAAAGTATCGTGGATGCATACGCATGTCAGAAACTGAATTTGCGGCTTTTGCTCTGAACAATAAAGAAAGTCGAAATGCTGAAGTTGCAGGAACAAACATGCCTCATCACTGCTCGGAACCTACCGGAAAGGCGGGCCTAGGCGTGCACCCTGACATATTTGATTAAATAGCGTACTTTTGTGTGTTCTGTCCACACCCCACTGTTCTTTAAGCTGCTGCTATGGGTAGCTAATCCTGTGGGCGGTCAAAATGAAATGTGTAATATTAGAAGCAATTATGAGTCAGCAATTGAGTAGGCCCTCCGCGCGAATGCTGCTGGCGCCCCCCCTGGTCCAGGAACGGCAGCTCACCATGATCTGCCGCATCTCGGTGAAGTCCCGACGCATCTCGTAGGTGTGGACCGTGACAGCACAGTCGCCGAGGAGTAATAATCTCCCAGCGGCTTGCAGCGGGTGGCCGGCGGTAATCAAGCCCAACAGCAGCAGGGCAGTGGTGCGTTGGAAAGCCCTCGTATCCATAGAAACCTGGGAACGATGAGGAACATCGGTCACCACGGCGACACTCCGCCCCTGGAAATCGACACCTGGGTTACCCCACCCTCTATTATCCCCCCGACCCTGGATAAAACCTGCTTCTCATTTGAATCCTAAATATCTCATTTAGTACATTACACTTCACTTTTAAAATGTTGATTATTGAAATAATATATTTTGTAAAAGTGCCGTAACAAACAAGCGTTAGTCACAAGCATACTATTCCGA